AACCAGGATCCAGTAATCAATCTCCTTCCACCTAACTGTATTACTTTTTAGAATTTTAACCCTATCCCATCCTACTGTGTGGTTGTTTGTTAATGCATGAAGAGCAACTGCCGGGCTTTTTTCTAAATTACGTATTTTTTCAGGGTCAACCATTCTTCCCTTAACTAAATTCGTATGTTCTGATAATATGACTACCCCCCAACCTACTAGTTTGACCTATGCAGTTGACCCCACAGTCATTGCAGGGTATTTTGTAAATTATATTATTTTGTCTAATTGGGTCAGCAGGCTCCTTTCACCTAAAGAACTTGTATCTGAGTGAGTTTGTAGGTTTGAATGCCACCGTAATTCCTGCTTTATTAAGAATCCTACGTAGGTTCTCAGTTTCCCCTCTTTAGATGGTATAACAGTGGATGACTTATATTCACTCTTATTTTATAGTATCATTACTAGTTCCACAATTATTTTTATTTTGTTTTTGGTCTTTACTGATCTACCTAATGAATTTTATAGGATAGTGATTCAACACCAACGCTAGTTCTATCTGTTTTATTTCGTCATTTAGGTCTTTTCTTGTGCTACTTAGTGCTATGGCTCGGTTTGTTAGACACTTAACTAAGCCTGCCTTAACAGTTAACGGACGAGACGAAGCCAGTCAGCCGATGTGCATTCTCTCGACGAAAGCAAGAGTAAGAATGGGGACGTGGAATGTCCGAGGCCAAAAGGATGCCCAGGTAGCCAAAGAGATGCGAAGATATGCCTTAAAAGTACTGGGTATCTGCGAAAGCAGATGGAATGGATGTGGATTGACAACATTGTCAACAGGAGAGTCAATAATTTCCTCCAGTCACCCAGATGACAAACACGAACACACCGAGGGAGTGGCCATCATGATGTCACCAGTGGCAGCCAATGCCCTAATGCAGTGGGAACCAATTTCATCCAGGATCATGACAGCAAGATTCAACTCCGAAGGAAGGAAGATAACAATTATCCGATGGTACACACAGTGCTACAAACAACGCGGAACAAGACAAGAAGGATGATTTTTATAGGCAACTACAAACAGTAATGGACAACATCCAGAACGGAGACATCAAAATCCTCATGAGCGATATGAATGTAAGCCAAACTGGGAGCAGATAATACAGGAAGCGAGCTCATCATGGATCGAGAGGCTCTCGGAACAATGAATGAGAACGAGAGACAAATCAAACAATGGGCTGATCACTTTAGAGGACTCTTGAATCGACCACCACCGGCAACTCGCCGAGAAATACCACCAACAGCACGCACGGAACTGCAGGCGGACACCACTCCTACAACGAAAGGAGAAATCGTGAATGCGATCAAGCTACTAAACACCGACCGGGAAGGCAGCAGAACCAGACGGAATTCCCCTGAAGCACTGAAAACGGACCCAGAGACCGCGGCATATGTTCTCACGCCGTTATTGTCTGTCTGTTTTCGCCATTATTGTAAAAGGTTTGGAAAGAAGGAAAGGTACCTACTGATTGGAAGAAGGGATACCTCGTCAAACTGTCAAAGAAGGGCGACTTAGGCCTGTGCAAGAACTGGTTTGGAATAATGCTCTTGTCCATGCCAAGTAAAATAGTAAGTCGCATCATCCTGGAGAGAATAAATGATGCACTGGATACAAAACTCCGCCCACAGGAACAAGCCGGATTCAGGAAAGGCAAATCATGTGCAGATCTAACTGCAGCTCTACGCATCGTCATCACAGACCAAAGCATAGAATGGCAATCAAACTTGTACCTTAATTTCATCGACTTCGAGAAGGCCTTCCACAGCTTAGACCGAGAAGTAATTTGGAAACTACTTCAACACTACGGCATACCTCAAGTCTTTATCAACCTCATTCAACAGCTATATGACAATGACACGTGCCAAGTGATTCACAACGGAAAACTCAGCGAGGTGTTCGAAGTACATACAGGAGTGAGACAATGCTGGCTGCATTTTATCACCGTTGATATCCCTAATTATCGTGGTGGACTAGATCATGCGGAAGACTGTGAGTGGGAGTGAGAAGACAGGAATACGCTGCACTGACCGATAAGAAGACTCCAGAAGATCCGGATTTCGCAGATGATATATGTCTAATATCACACAAATTCGAAGACTTGCAAGCGAAAACCAACAAACTGGCTGAAGAGGCAGCGAAATCAGGACTGTAGGTGAACAGAGAGAAGACGGAGGTGATGAAAATAACCAATCAACAGAAGCAACAACAACCAGCCCCAATCACCATCAACGGGAGAGATTTAACAAGGGTTACTTCTATCACTTATCTAGGAAGCATCGTTTCAACTACAGGTGCAAAAGATGAAGATGTCAAGGCTTGTGAGAATCGGAAAGGCAAGATACGCCTTCATCAACCTGAAACCAGTTTGGAAATCTTCCGCACTCAGCATAAGGAACAAGATATGCATTTTCAGTTCTTCTATACGGGTCGGAAACTTGCACTGCGTGTCACGAAAAGGATTTCCAACAGGTTGCAGACTTTCATCAACAGCTGCTCCCTTCGATCCATACTGGAGATCAAATGGCCAGAAAGAATAAGCAACAAGAAACTATAGGAACAAACCAACCAGGAGCTAATCGCTCAAGAAATATGCAGGAGAAAGTGGAGATGGATCAGGCATACATTTAGGAGGCCGCCGAATGACATAGCATGCCAGGCCAGTGCTCGATTGGGATCCCGTCGGGAAGCGACGAGTGGGAGGCCCTAGGGTGACACGCAGGAGATCGCGTGAGGAAGAGTTTGGTCAATCGTGGATCCGGATGAAGAGGACGGCAGAAAACAGAACAAAGTGGAGATGTGTTGTTAAAGCCCTATGTTCCACTCGGGATGCAAGGGAATAATAATAACACCTTTGATCATATTCCCTTACCGGATATAATTTCTTAAAAACTATAAACATACGATTGTAGAGCTTGATAATGAAATCGTTGGAAAGAGTCTCTTCGCTGAATATTGTGTTCTTGATTTGCAATTTAATTGATATATTTTCTACTTCTAAGGGGTAATTGAATCCTATAGATTACACTTACAGTGGAATCGCTAAACTACGAGGGATGAACATCGTTGTTGAATATTTATATTCGGTAGTAGGATGTATCTTCTGGCGCACTCTAACTTTTATCCTGTGAAAACATTTTTAAGTCAGTGTTTAAATATTACAGTTGCAATTACGGATTACGCAGTAATTAATATCCTATCTTTCATCATTACCAAAACGAATGATTGATATGCCTTTGATAAAACTTGAAATCTCCAAGTCGCGGTATATGATTGCTTATCAAAGAATGAAACACAACCATCTACACACCCTAAGTTAATGAGTAAAAATCGCTATTCAGTAACAACCAGCTCAGAGAACAAAACCAAGTCAAAAGTGTCTATCCAAGCTACAATTCTTCTCTATTCTAATAAACAATTAGTAGGGAAATATGATTATTGATTTGCGTCTCAACAGACATAAGCAGTTCTTCATGTATAAAAAATAATTAGAAGTAGTAAGCGACATGGTTCAAAATAAATCATATAAATTCACTTCTGTCTTTCCTTTTGTTTCATGTTTTCTAATTAAAACTCAGTTTCTCAGTATTGGGCTGAGTCACACTTATTGTTTGCAAGCTAATGATATTACTCAGTTGAAGTTAATAGGACTGAATTCCAGCACCCATTGACTGAAAATCGGATGCTTAAACTTTATAGTGTTCCCAGTCCATTGATTACGCATATTTATCTCCTTGTTTCCCCTTTCATTACTTTTTAACCGATTTTCAGATATGGAATATATCAGCTAGGACCACTATACAATAGGAATTATGTTGACGACATCTGTCTGCCTGTTATACTAAGCTTTGCAAATTAGTAGATACTTTGCTTGGTTTTCAACACTCCACAAATTACCTACATGATCAGCATGCAATGAACAGACATCATGAAGGCATAGTACTTGTAAAAGCCTTATTATTGTGTTGAATTCTCTCGGAATGTCTGTCTGTCTGTTTTCGACATAGAACTTTGCACAAATGTGCGGAAGTTCAAGTCGCCACACTCCGTGTAGCACGCGAAGCAAGAGAAGAAAGTACAAGAAAAGCATAATAGAAACAGTGAGCAGAGGTGTGAGACAAAGGAGGAGTAATAACGAAGAACAAAACAGTTTCATTGGAAATCATAAGTCACAAGGAGTGGATGCATCTGCGCCACTGAGAACGATTTTGAGCCATGTCACCAATTGTTTCCAACCATTGATTTTTACCGTCCCGAGGACCCCAGCCTGGAAGTCTACACCTTCCTACGTGGCTTAGACCAACTGTTGTGGATTTCATTGACTGGTGACAAGTTTTTGTTTGGTTACTTCGGGAGAATATTTCCATCAAATTAGCAGTGTGAATACAAACCAAACATCACTAGTCCCAAGCCATCATCAAATGATCTTCTAGGAAATATACACAACTGGATCTTACGTCAAATACCTTAAAACTGGTGACAGCACTCCATGAGTTAAGCACATGAATCACCAAGAAGAACTGGTGGTTTTCTCTTAACAATCAAACGACTATACCATTGAAGATAATGGCTGTTTGTAGGGAAAAGCTTAATGGAACTACATCCAGATACAAACAGCGGTCCAAGATAAATTATAAGGTAGATTATTCCGTAGTTCTCTGTGAGCTTTTAGTTCCACAACACCCAACTGCTCTTAGTTGGTAGCGAGGCCGAAAAAATGTTTGGCAACTGCGTAATCGAAATAGGTAGGTTCTCATTTACCCATCAAGAGAAAACCCTATAGAACTTTACCGAGATTAGGTATATTAGGACAAAATACTACTCTTCATATCTCCTTTATTTATTGAATAAATATACAAGTAATACACTTCATTTACAGAACAAAAGATTACAATTAAAGCTGTTTAAAATATGAATCCATTCGTTGAATCGTGGTAACATTATCGAAGAAGAGAAATCAAGTGGAAGTTTTTTCATCATCCGTAACATGCCGTTGAGTTACATAATGTGATTCTCGTGGTCCAAATATAGAAGTACCTATGCGCACATTAGTACTTCCAAGGTGTATCTATGCATAAGTTTATACTATGAAGAACTTACAGCATGTTCGAAATCGTCAGACATCCCCATGCTCAATTCGAAATCCATAGGAGACTTTCTTAAAGAAGACGCTAGTATTTGTCTACACTGTACAAGTTTCTGAGTTCCGTAGAAATTTATAGGGAAATATTTACCAAGAAATCTGGGTTTGGGCCCGCAGCGATATCTACTGCTTCTCGCCCTATACACATAAGACCGACAACCCTCAAATTCAAACACCTCGCTTCTATCTGTTTGTGCAGATCTACTACATCAGAAGGTTTTATTCCACCTTTCTCTTTCACATATAAGCATTTTATAAAATAAAATTACGTGGTTCGTCACTAGTGTTAACTTGAATCATTACATTCAAGGGGGTAAGGTGGATTGAGCCCCATGCTGAATCAAGAGCCTGAGCATGATCTATAGAGTCTACAGTCTCCACCATATACAGGTTATTCACACCTTAAAATGTGAGTTAAAGGTAAACAGTTACCTGCCAGTTTTTTGATCTTGTTGGTTTGAATTCGACCAATAAAATGCCATTTAATATCCGGGCAACACTTGATTACCTGAAATACTTATATGAAATCTGTAGCAGTGTAAACATACCTCAGACGAATGGCTTTTTTCAAACAAATGAACAATCTACTAAGATATCACAAAAGATTTTAGAAATTACCTTGTTCTCAGCAAAATGTCTTTGCCCAGCGACATAAGCTTCTATGATAGACTGTATCGGCTTTTCTTTAGAAACTGCAACAAGGCGGCACAACTTTTGGCCTACTGATGGAGACTACATGTTCAACGTACATTTATAGTGAATTAACCTACTGATTGGTAAGCTGTTTCTATTTTAAGTAAAATATCAGTGAGATTTTTCGATACGTAACTCATAGTCTTATTGTTATATTATTCAGTTATGCATTCTTGGGAAACTAGCTGTTAGTCCGTGGGTGTGGTCGGTTAAAAACAAGAAACCTAGAAATACATAGGACGAAAGTAAGAGGATTCAGATAAGTCATTCAAATATAGGTGTAGGACGACTGGAAATTAGGTTAGAAAGTTTGACAACCGTTAAACTGAATGCAAATGCACAAGTGACACCTCATCTACACTGCAAGAAATTAAGTGTCTCCATATGTTGGGGATAGGTTATAATTTGAGGAGAACATTTGTGTTTTGTTTTGAAGATTGTATTCATTTTAATTTGGGTATTAAGGGGTACAGCTTTGAATATCACCTTGAGTCTTATCATACACGTTGTTTTATGAGCACTGAATTTAAAATCTAAATTAAAATCAGCAGAACCACCCAGAAAAAAAAACAAAGCACGAAGAACAATTAAACTACTGGGACGTTCAGAACTTACTTTGGAAGTAATTACAACTAAAATTCTGATAATATTGACTACACCTAATAGATTTGATTATTCGTAAAGTCAGGTCGGAATGAAGAACACAATAAAACTACACTTTTGAACAAAAGTAACACGAAATTGCAGTGCATATTTATGTGTTTCATTCGGTGTTATTTGTATTCCTAACATCATTCATTTCGTGTCCTAAAGTGTGCGCATCTGAGAAGTAACAACAGCCCAAACACTTTCAAAAGTAAATTTTGCATTCATTCAACTGTTGGTACTTTCCCCACTCGAACGTAATTCTCCTTGCCTTAATCCTACGACCATCAGAAGCTACATCATCCAAAAAATTACTTCCCCTAGTCTCCTGAAGTCACTCAACCAGCAACATATTGGGGCATTCGACCTTTGTGTTTCATGACACATCGGACAACCACCCTCACTAGCTAGAATTCTGGCATCTCAGGCTATGGGTATATTTTATGTTTCGGAGTTACGCATACAATGGCTGAGTGTGATTGCTCATTAAATGTCACCTGGCTAACACGGTGAATCTACAAAATGCACCTTACGGGTGCCAGGAAATTCTTCTGCTAGTTTGTGTCCGTCTGTCTGTTTTCGACATAGAACTTTGCACAAATGTGCGGAAGTTCAAGTCGCCACACTCCGTGTAGCACGCGAAGCAAGAGAAGAAAGTACAAGAAAAGCATAATAGAAACAGTGAGCAGAGGTGTGAGACAAAGGAGGAGTAATAACGAAGAACAAAACAGTTTCATTGGAAATCATAAGTCACAAGGAGTGGATGCATCTGCGCCACTGAGAACGATTTTGAGCCATGTCACCAATTGTTTCCAACCATTGATTTTTACCGTCCCGAGGACCCCAGCCTGGAAGTCTACACCTTCCTACGTGGCTTAGACCAACTGTTGTGGATTTCATTGACTGGTGACAAGTTTTTGTTTGGTTACTTCGGGAGAATATTTCCATCAAATTAGCAGTGTGAATACAAACCAAACATCACTAGTCCCAAGCCATCATCAAATGATCTTCTAGGAAATATACACAACTGGATCTTACGTCAAATACCTTAAAACTGGTGACAGCACTCCATGAGTTAAGCACATGAATCACCAAGAAGAACTGGTGGTTTTCTCTTAACAATCAAACGACTATACCATTGAAGATAATGGCTGTTTGTAGGGAAAAGCTTAATGGAACTACATCCAGATACAAACAGCGGTCCAAGATAAATTATAAGGTAGATTATTCCGTAGTTCTCTGTGAGCTTTTAGTTCCACAACACCCAACTGCTCTTAGTTGGTAGCGAGGCCGAAAAAATGTTTGGCAACTGCGTAATCGAAATAGGTAGGTTCTCATTTACCCATCAAGAGAAAACCCTATAGAACTTTACCGAGATTAGGTATATTAGGACAAAATACTACTCTTCATATCTCCTTTATTTATTGAATAAATATACAAGTAATACACTTCATTTACAGAACAAAAGATTACAATTAAAGCTGTTTAAAATATGAATCCATTCGTTGAATCGTGGTAACATTATCGAAGAAGAGAAATCAAGTGGAAGTTTTTTCATCATCCGTAACATGCCGTTGAGTTACATAATGTGATTCTCGTGGTCCAAATATAGAAGTACCTATGCGCACATTAGTACTTCCAAGGTGTATCTATGCATAAGTTTATACTATGAAGAACTTACAGCATGTTCGAAATCGTCAGACATCCCCATGCTCAATTCGAAATCCATAGGAGACTTTCTTAAAGAAGACGCTAGTATTTGTCTACACTGTACAAGTTTCTGAGTTCCGTAGAAATTTATAAGGAAATATTTACCAAGAAATCTGGGTTTGGGCCCGCAGCGATATCTACTGCTTCTCGCCCTATACACATAAGACCGACAACCCTCAAATTCAAACACCTCGCTTCTATCTGTTTGTGCAGATCTACTACATCAGAAGGTTTTATTCCACCTTTCTCTTTCACATATAAGCATTTTATAAAATAAAATTACGTGGTTCGTCACTCGTGTTAACTTGAATCATTACATTCAAGGGGGTAAGGTGGATTGAGCCCCATGCTGAATCAAGAGCCTGAGCATGATCTATAGAGTCTACAGTCTCCACCATATACAGGTTATTCACACCTTAAAATGTGAGTTAAAGGTAAACAGTTACCTGCCAGTTTTTTGATCTTGTTGGTTTGAATTCGACCAATAAAATGCCATTTAATATCCGGGCAACACTTGATTACCTGAAATACTTATATGAAATCTGTAGCAGTGTAAACATACCTCAGACGAATGGCTTTTTTCAAACAAATGAACAATCTACTAAGATATCACAAAAGATTTTAGAAATTACCTTGTTCTCAGCAAAATGTCTTTGCCCAGCGACATAAGCTTCTATGATAGACTGTATCGGCTTTTCTTTAGAAACTGCAACAAGGCGGCACAACTTTTGGCCTACTGATGGAGACTACATGTTCAACGTACATTTATAGTGAATTAACCTACTGATTGGTAAGCTGTTTCTATTTTAAGTAAAATATCAGTGAGATTTTTCGATACGTAACTCATAGTCTTATTGTTATATTATTCAGTTATGCATTCTTGGGAAACTAGCTGTTAGTCCGTGGGTGTGGTCGGTTAAAAACAAGAAACCTAGAAATACATAGGACGAAAGTAAGAGGATTCAGATAAGTCATTCAAATATAGGTGTAGGACGACTGGAAATTAGGTTAGAAAGTTTGACAACCGTTAAACTGAATGCAAATGCACAAGTGACACCTCATCTACACTGCAAGAAATTAAGTGTCTCCATATGTTGGGGATAGGTTATAATTTGAGGAGAACATTTGTGTTTTGTTTTGAAGATTGTATTCATTTTAATTTGGGTATTAAGGGGTACAGCTTTGAATATCACCTTGAGTCTTATCATACACGTTGTTTTATGAGCACTGAATTTAAAATCTAAATTAAAATCAGCAGAACCACCCAGAAAAAAAAACAAAGCACGAAGAACAATTAAACTACTGGGACGTTCAGAACTTACTTTGGAAGTAATTACAACTAAAATTCTGATAATATTGACTACACCTAATAGATTTGATTATTCGTAAAGTCAGGTGGGAATGAAGAACACAATAAAACTACACTTTTGAACAAAAGTAACACGAAATTGCAGTGCATATTTATGTGTTTCATTCGGTGTTATTTGTATTCCTAACATCATTCATTTCGTGTCCTAAAGTGTGCGCATCTGAGAAGTAACAACAGCCCAAACACTTTCAAAAGTAAATTTTGCATTCATTCAACTGTTGGTACTTTCCCCACTCGAACGTAATTCTCCTTGCCTTAATCCTACGACCATCAGAAGCTACATCATCCAAAAAATTACTTCCCCTAGTCTCCTGAAGTCACTCAACCAGCAACATATTGGGGCATTCGACCTTTGTGTTTCATGACACATCGGACAACCACCCTCACTAGCTAGAATTCTGGCATCTCAGGCTATGGATATATTTTATGTTTCGGAGTTACGCATACAATGGCTGAGTGTGATTGCTCATTAAATGTCACCTGGCTAACACGGTGAATCTACAAAATGCACCTTACGGGTGCCAGGAAATTCTTCTGCTAGTTTGTGTCCGTCTGTCTGTTTTCGACATAGAACTTTGCACAAATGTGCGGAAGTTCAAGTCGCCACACTCCGTGTAGCACGCGAAGCAAGAGAAGAAAGTACAAGAAAAGCATAATAGAAACAGTGAGCAGAGGTGTGAGACAAAGGAGGAGTAATAACGAAGAACAAAACAGTTTCATTGGAAATCATAAGTCACAAGGAGTGGATGCATCTGCGCCACTGAGAACGATTTTGAGCCATGTCACCAATTGTTTCCAACCATTGATTTTTACCGTCTCGAGGACCCCAGCCTGGAAGTCTACACCTTCCTACGTGGCTTAGACCAACTGTTGTGGATTTCATTGACTGGTGACAAGTTTTTGTTTGGTTACTTCGGGAGAATATTTCCATCAAATTAGCAGTGTGAATACAAACCAAACATCACTAGTCCCAAGCCATCATCAAATGATCTTCTAGGAAATATACACAACTGGATCTTACGTCAAATACCTTAAAACTGGTGACAGCACTCCATGAGTTAAGCACATGAATCACCAAGAAGAACTGGTGGTTTTCTCTTAACAATCAAACGACTATACCATTGAAGATAATGGCTGTTTGTAGGGAAAAGCTTAATGGAACTACATCCAGATACAAACAGCGGTCCAAGATAAATTATAAGGTAGATTATTCCGTAGTTCTCTGTGAGCTTTTAGTTCCACAACACCCAACTGCTCTTAGTTGGTAGCGAGGCCGAAAAAATGTTTGGCAACTGCGTAATCGAAATAGGTAGGTTCTCATTTACCCATCAAGAGAAAACCCTATAGAACTTTACCGAGATTAGGTATATTAGGACAAAATACTACTCTTCATATCTCCTTTATTTATTGAATAAATATACAAGTAATACACTTCATTTACAGAACAAAAGATTACAATTAAAGCTGTTTAAAATATGAATCCATTCGTTGAATCGTGGTAACATTATCGAAGAAGAGAAATCAAGTGGAAGTTTTTTCATCATCCGTAACATGCCGTTGAGTTACATAATGTGATTCTCGTGGTCCAAATATAGAAGTACCTATGCGCACATTAGTACTTCCAAGGTGTATCTATGCATAAGTTTATACTATGAAGAACTTACAGCATGTTCGAAATCGTCAGACATCCCCATGCTCAATTCGAAATCCATAGGAGACTTTCTTAAAGAAGATGCTAGTATTTGTCTACACTGTACAAGTTTCTGAGTTCCGTAGAAATTTATAAGGAAATATTTACCAAGAAATCTGGGTTTGGGCCCGCAGCGATATCTACTGCTTCTCGCCCTATACACATAAGACCGACAACCCTCAAATTCAAACACCTCGCTTCTATCTGTTTGTGCAGATCTACTACATCAGAAGGTTTTATTCCACCTTTCTCTTTCACATATAAGCATTTTATAAAATAAAATTACGTGGTTCGTCACTCGTGTTAACTTGAATCATTACATTCAAGGGGGTAAGGTGGATTGAGCCCCATGCTGAATCAAGAGCCTGAGCATGATCTATAGAGTCTACAGTCTCCACCATATACAGGTTATTCACACCTTAAAATGTGAGTTAAAGGTAAACAGTTACCTGCCAGTTTTTTGATCTTGTTGGTTTGAATTCGACCAATAAAATGCCATTTAATATCCGGGCAACACTTGATTACCTGAAATACTTATATGAAATCTGTAGCAGTGTAAACATACCTCAGACGAATGGCTTTTTTCAAACAAATGAACAATCTACTAAGATATCACAAAAGATTTTAGAAATTACCTTGTTCTCAGCAAAATGTCTTTGCCCAGCGACATAAGCTTCTATGATAGACTGTATCGGCTTTTCTTTAGAAACTGCAACAAGGCGGCACAACTTTTGGCCTACTGATGGAGACTACATGTTCAACGTACATTTATAGTGAATTAACCTACTGATTGGTAAGCTGTTTCTATTTTAAGTAAAATATCAGTGAGATTTTTCGATACGTAACTCATAGTCTTATTGTTATATTATTCAGTTATGCATTCTTGGGAAACTAGCTGTTAGTCCGTGGGTGTGGTCGGTTAAAAACAAGAAACCTAGAAATACATAGGACGAAAGTAAGAGGATTCAGATAAGTCATTCAAATATAGGTGTAGGACGACTGGAAATTAGGTTAGAAAGTTTGACAACCGTTAAACTGAATGCAAATGCACAAGTGACACCTCATCTACACTGCAAGAAATTAAGTGTCTCCATATGTTGGGGATAGGTTATAATTTGAGGAGAACATTTGTGTTTTGTTTTGAAGATTGTATTCATTTTAATTTGGGTATTAAGGGGTACAGCTTTGAATATCACCTTGAGTCTTATCATACACGTTGTTTTATGAGCACTGAATTTAAAATCTAAATTAAAATCAGCAGAACCACCCAGAAAAAAAAACAAAGCACGAAGAACAATTAAACTACTGGGACGTTCAGAACTTACTTTGGAAGTAATTACAACTAAAATTCTGATAATATTGACTACACCTAATAGATTTGATTATTCGTAAAGTCAGGTGGGAATGAAGAACACAATAAAACTACACTTTTGAACAAAAGTAACACGAAATTGCAGTGCATATTTATGTGTTTCATTCGGTGTTATTTGTATTCCTAACATCATTCATTTCGTGTCCTAAAGTGTGCGCATCTGAGAAGTAACAACAGCCCAAACACTTTCAAAAGTAAATTTTGCATTCATTCAACTGTTGGTACTTTCCCCACTCGAACGTAATTCTCCTTGCCTTAATCCTACGACCATCAGAAGCTACATCATCCAAAAAATTACTTCCCCTAGTCTCCTGAAGTCACTCAACCAGCAACATATTGGGGCATTCGACCTTTGTGTTTCATGACACATCGGACAACCACCCTCACTAGCTAGAATTCTGGCATCTCAGGCTATGGATATATTTTATGTTTCGGAGTTACGCATACAATGGCTGAGTGTGATTGCTCATTAAATGTCACCTGGCTAACACGGTGAATCTACAAAATGCACCTTACGGGTGCCAGGAAATTCTTCTGCTAGTTTGTGTCCGTCTGTCTGTTTTCGACATAGAACTTTGCACAAATGTGCGGAAGTTCAAGTCGCCACACTCCGTGTAGCACGCGAAGCAAGAGAAGAAAGTACAAGAAAAGCATAATAGAAACAGTGAGCAGAGGTGTGAGACAAAGGAGGAGTAATAACGAAGAACAAAACAGTTTCATTGGAAATCATAAGTCACAAGGAGTGGATGCATCTGCGCCACTGAGAACGATTTTGAGCCATGTCACCAATTGTTTCCAACCATTGATTTTTACCGTCTCGAGGACCCCAGCCTGGAAGTCTACACCTTCCTACGTGGCTTAGACCAACTGTTGTGGATTTCATTGACTGGTGACAAGTTTTTGTTTGGTTACTTCGGGAGAATATTTCCATCAAATTAGCAGTGTGAATACAAACCAAACATCACTAGTCCCAAGCCATCATCAAATGATCTTCTAGGAAATATACACAACTGGATCTTACGTCAAATACCTTAAAACTGGTGACAGCACTCCATGAGTTAAGCACATGAATCACCAAGAAGAACTGGTGGTTTTCTCTTAACAATCAAACGACTATACCATTGAAGATAATGGCTGTTTGTAGGGAAAAGCTTAATGGAACTACATCCAGATACAAACAGCGGTCCAAGATAAATTATAAGGTAGATTATTCCGTAGTTCTCTGTGAGCTTTTAGTTCCACAACACCCAACTGCTCTTAGTTGGTAGCGAGGCCGAAAAAATGTTTGGCAACTGCGTAATCGAAATAGGTAGGTTCTCATTTACCCATCAAGAGAAAACCCTATAGAACTTTACCGAGATTAGGTATATTAGGACAAAATACTACTCTTCATATCTCCTTTATTTATTGAATAAATATACAAGTAATACACTTCATTTACAGAACAAAAGATTACAATTAAAGCTGTTTAAAATATGAATCCATTCGTTGAATCGTGGTAACATTATCGAAGAAGAGAAATCAAGTGGAAGTTTTTTCATCATCCGTAACATGCCGTTGAGTTACATAATGTGATTCTCGTGGTCCAAATATAGAAGTACCTATGCGCACATTAGTACTTCCAAGGTGTATCTATGCATAAGTTTATACTATGAAGAACTTACAGCATGTTCGAAATCGTCAGACATCCCCATGCTCAATTCGAAATCCATAGGAGACTTTCTTAAAGAAGATGCTAGTATTTGTCTACACTGTACAAGTTTCTGAGTTCCGTAGAAATTTATAAGGAAATATTTACCAAGAAATCTGGGTTTGGGCCCGCAGCGATATCTACTGCTTCTCGCCCTATACACATAAGACCGACAACCCTCAAATTCAAACACCTCGCTTCTATCTGTTTGTGCAGATCTACTACATCAGAAGGTTTTATTCCACCTTTCTCTTTCACATATAAGCATTTTATAAAATAAAATTACGTGGTTCGTCACTCGTGTTAACTTGAATCATTACATTCAAGGGGGTAAGGTGGATTGAGCCCCATGCTGAATCAAGAGCCTGAGCATGATCTATAGAGTCTACAGTCTCCACCATATACAGGTTATTCACACCTTAAAATGTGAGTTAAAGGTAAACAGTTACCTGCCAGTTTTTTGATCTTGTTGGTTTGAATTCGACCAATAAAATGCCATTTAATATCCGGGCAACACTTGATTACCTGAAATACTTATATGAAATCTGTAGCAGTGTAAACATACCTCAGACGAATGGCTTTTTTCAAACAAATGAACAATCTACTAAGATATCACAAAAGATTTTAGAAATTACCTTGTTCTCAGCAAAATGTCTTTGCCCAGCGACATAAGCTTCTATGATAGACTGTATCGGCTTTTCTTTAGAAACTGCAACAAGGCGGCACAACTTTTGGCCTACTGATGGAGACTACATGTTCAACGTACATTTATAGTGAATTAACCTACTGATTGGTAAGCTGTTTCTATTTTAAGTAAAATATCAGTGAGATTTTTCGATACGTAACTCATAGTCTTATTGTTATATTATTCAGTTATGCATTCTTGGGAAACTAGCTGTTAGTCCGTGGGTGTGGTCGGTTAAAAACAAGAAACCTAGAAATACATAGGACGAAAGTAAGAGGATTCAGATAAGTCATTCAAATATAGGTGTAGGACGACTGGAAATTAGGTTAGAAAGTTTGACAACCGTTAAACTGAATGCAAATGCACAAGTGACACCTCATCTACACTGCAAGAAATTAAGTGTCTCCATATGTTGGGGATAGGTTATAATTTGAGGAGAACATTTGTGTTTTGTTTTGAAGATTGTATTCATTTTAATTTGGGTATTAAGGGGTACAGCTTTGAATATCACCTTGAGTCTTATCATACACGTTGTTTTATGAGCACTGAATTTAAAATCTAAATTAAAATCAGCAGAACCACCCAGAAAAAAAAACAAAGCACGAAGAACAATTAAACTACTGGGACGTTCAGAACTTACTTTGGAAGTAATTACAACTAAAATTCTGATAATATTGACTACACCTAATAGATTTGATTATTCGTAAAGTCAGGTGGGAATGAAGAACACAATAAAACTACACTTTTGAACAAAAGTAACACGAAATTGCAGTGCATATTTATGTGTTTCATTCGGTGTTATTTGTATTCCTAACATCATTCATTTCGTGTCCTAAAGTGTGCGCATCTGAGAAGTAACAACAGCCCAAACACTTTCAAAAGTAAATTTTGCATTCATTCAACTGTTGGTACTTTCCCCACTCGAACGTAATTCTCCTTGCCTTAATCCTACGACCATCAGAAGCTACATCATCCAAAAAATTACTTCCCCTAGTCTCCTGAAGTCACTCAACCAGCAACATATTGGGGCATTCGACCTTTGTGTTTCATGACACATCGGACAACCACCCTCACTAGCTAGAATTCTGGCATCTCAGGCTATGGATATATTTTATGTTTCGGAGTTACGCATACAATGGCTGAGTGTGATTGCTCATTAAATGTCACCTGGCTAACACGGTGAATCTACAAAATGCACCTTACGGGTGCCAGGAAATTCTTCTGCTAGTTTGTGTCCGTCTGTCTGTTTTCGACATAGAACTTTGCACAAATGTGCGGAAGTTCAAGTCGCCACACTCCGTGTAGCACGCGAAGCAAGAGAAGAAAGTACAAGAAAAGCATAATAGAGACAGTGAGCAGAGGTGTGAGACAAAGGAGGAGTAATAACGAAGAACAAAACAGTTTCATTGGAAATCATAAGTCACAAGGAGTGGATGCATCTGCGCCACTGAGAACGATTTTGAGCCATGTCACCAATTGTTTCCAACCATTGATTTTTACCGTCTCGAGGACCCCAGCCTGGAAGTCTACACCTTCCTACGTGGCTTAGACCAACTGTTGTGGATTTCATTGACTGGTGACAAGTTTTTGTTTGGTTACTTCGGGAGAATATTTCCATCAAATTAGCAGTGTGAATACAAACCAAACATCACTAGTCCCAAGCCATCATCAAATGATCTTCTAGGAAATATACACAACTGGATCTTACGTCAAATACCTTAAAACTGGTGACAGCACTCCATGAGTTAAGCACATGAATCACCAAGAAGAACTGGTGGTTTTCTCTTAACAATCAAACGACTATACCATTGAAGATAATGGCTGTTTGTAGGGAAAAGCTTAATGGAACTACATCCAGATACAAACAGCGGTCCAAGATAAATTATAAGGTAGATTATTCCGTAGTTCTCTGTGAGCTTTTAGTTCCACAACACCCAACTGCTCTTAGTTGGTAGCGAGGCCGAAAAAATGTTTGGCAACTGCGTAATCGAAATAGGTAGGTTCTCATTTACCCATCAAGAGAAAACCCTATAGAACTTTACCGAGATTAGGTATATTAGGACAAAATACTACTCTTCATATCTCCTTTATTTATTGAATAAATATACAAGTAATACACTTCATTTACAGAACAAAAGATTACAATTAAAGCTGTTTAAAATATGAATCCATTCGTTGAATCGTGGTAACATTATCGAAGAAGAGAAATCAAGTGGAAGTTTTTTCATCATCCGTAACATGCCGTTGAGTTACATAATGTGATTCTCGTGGTCCAAATATAGAAGTACCTATGCGCACATTAGTACTTCCAAGGTGTATCTATGCATAAGTTTATACTATGAAGAACTTACAGCATGTTCGAAATCGTCAGACATCCCCATGCTCAATTCGAAATCCATAGGAGACTTTCTTAAAGAAGATGCTAGTATTTGTCTACACTGTACAAGTTTCTGAGTTCCGTAGAAATTTATAAGGAAATATTTACCAAGAAATCTGGGTTTGGGCCCGCAGCGATATCTACTGCTTCTCGCCCTATACACATAAGACCGACAACCCTCAAATTCAAACACCTCGCTTCTATCTGTTTGTGCAGATCTACTACATCAGAAGGTTTTATTCCACCTTTCTCTTTCACATATAAGCATTTTATAAAATAAAATTACGTGGTTCGTCACTCGTGTTAACTTGAATCATTACATTCAAGGGGGTAAGGTGGATTGAGCCCCATGCTGAATCAAGAGCCTGAGCATGATCTATAGAGTCTACAGTCTCCACCATATACAGGTTATTCACACCTTAAAATGTGAGTTAAAGGTAAACAGTTACCTGCCAGTTTTTTGATCTTGTTGGTTTGAATTCGACCAATAAAATGCCATTTAATATCCGGGCAACACTTGATTACCTGAAATACTTATATGAAATCTGTAGCAGTGTAAACATACCTCAGACGAATGGCTTTTTTCAAACAAATGAACAATCTACTAAGATATCACAAAAGATTTTAGAAATTACCTTGTTCTCAGCAAAATGTCTTTGCCCAGCGACATAAGCTTCTATGATAGACTGTATCGGCTTTTCTTTAGAAACTGCAACAAGGCGGCACAACTTTTGGCCTACTGATGGAGACTACATGTTCAACGTACATTTATAGTGAATTAACCTACTGATTGGTAAGCTGTTTCTATTTTAAGTAAAATATCAGTGAGATTTTTCGATACGTAACTCATAGTCTTATTGTTATATTATTCAGTTATGCATTCTTGGGAAACTAGCTGTTAGTCCGTGGGTGTGGTCGGTTAAAAACAAGAAACCTAGAAATACATAGGACGAAAGTAAGAGGATTCAGATAAGTCATTCAAATATAGGTGTAGGACGACTGGAAATTAGGTTAGAAAGTTTGACAACCGTTAAACTGAATGCAAATGCACAAGTGACACCTCATCTACACTGCAAGAAATTAAGTGTCTCCATATGTTGGGGATAGGTTATAATTTGAGGAGAACATTTGTGTTTTGTTTTGAAGATTGTATTCATTTTAATTTGGGTATTAAGGGGTACAGCTTTGAATATCACCTTGAGTCTTATCATACACGTTGTTTTATGAGCACTGAATTTAAAATCTAAATTAAAATCAGCAGAACCACCCAGAAAAAAAAACAAAGCACGAAGAACAATTAAACTACTGGGACGTTCAGAACTTACTTTGGAAGTAATTACAACTAAAATTCTGATAATATTGACTACACCTAATAGATTTGATTATTCGTAAAGTCAGGTGGGAATGAAGAACACAATAAAACTACACTTTTGAACAAAAGTAACACGAAATTGCAGTGCATATTTATGTGTTTCATTCGGTGTTATTTGTATTCCTAACATCATTCATTTCGTGTCCTAAAGTGTGCGCATCTGAGAAGTAACAACAGCCCAAACACTTTCAAAAGTAAATTTTGCATTCATTCAACTGTTGGTACTTTCCCCACTCGAACGTAATTCTCCTTGCCTTAATCCTACGACCATCAGAAGCTACATCATCCAAAAAATTACTTCCCCTAGTCTCCTGAAGTCACTCAACCAGCAACATATTGGGGCATTCGACCTTTGTGTTTCATGACACATCGGACAACCACCCTCACTAGCTAGAATTCTGGCATCTCAGGCTATGGATATATTTTATGTTTCGGAGTTACGCATACAATGGCTGAGTGTGATTGCTCATTAAATGTCACCTGGCTAACACGGTGAATCTACAAAATGCACCTTACGGGTGCCAGGAAATTCTTCTGCTAGTTTGTGTCTGTCTGTCTGTTTTCGACATAGAACTTTGCACAAATGTGCGGAAGTTCAAGTCGCCACACTCCGTGTAGCACGCGAAGCAAGAGAAGAAAGTACAAGAAAAGCATAATAGAGACAGTGAGCAGAGGTGTGAGACAAAGGAGGAGTAATAACGAAGAACAAAACAGTTTCATTGGAAATCATAAGTCACAAGGAGTGGATGCATCTGCGCCACTGAGAACGATTTTGAGCCATGTCACCAATTGTTTCCAACCATTGATTTTTACCGTCTCGAGGACCCCAGCCTGGAAGTCTACACCTTCCTACGTGGCTTAGACCAACTGTTGTGGATTTCATTGACTGGTGCCAAGTTTTTGTTTGACCACCGCTAGCTTTTTTCCAGCCTGATCCTATATCCGCTAACATCGCTCGTCGAGGGAAGCGATGACTTGGCATACGCAACACATGTCTCACCATCTCAGTCTTTGTAATTTCACGACTTCATCGATTGATTTGCCATGTTTACCTAGAACTCTAAGACTAACTTCAATGTTGCTCACCTTATTGTGCCACTTTACACGGGAAATAGAGCGCAGGCACATATGATCAAAGACAGCTAGTCTTTCATGTCTTCCACTCTCAATGGCCAGGTCTCACAGCCATAAAGGAAGACGGAGCGGACTGATGAGCAGTACACCCGCCCTTTGGTCGATAGCCGGCTATCACGTCTACTCCAGAGTCGGCGTAAACTGGTATATGCGAGACGAGCCCCCTGTATTCGTGCTGAGATTTCGTCAGAGATCGACCCATTGGAGCTGATGGTACTTCCCAAGTAAGTGAAGCGGTCAACGTGCTCTACCACTTCACTCCCTATTTCTAAACTAGGAGTCGGTGTGGTCCAGTCCTGTAAGATCATCTTGCATTTGGCGGGAGCGAATCGCATGCCAAACATTCGTAGATTGCAGCTCAAGGTGTTCAGAAGACTCTGCATTTTGTCAATGTCCTCGCCTAGAAGGACTATATCATCTGCATATTCTAAGTCAACGGGATTATTCCCTGGTAGCAAGTCAATCCCTGAGTCGCTGAAGTCACTTAGGGTTAAGTCCATTAGTACATCTATGATGAAGTTGAATAGAAATGGGGATAATGGGCAGTCATTCCATCAGGTCCCGCTGCTTTGCCTAGTTTCAGATTGGGGACAGCTTTAGTAACCTCAGTTAGGGACGGAGGACCTGTGTCTATATCCCATTCAGGGAGGTGTTGGATGTTCGGCAGGTTGAGCGTGGCTGTGGGCCAATTAAACTGCTCCTCATAATGCTCTTTCCAGCGATCCGGTCGTCTATTCTGGGAGCTAATTATAGTGCCATTTTTCTCCGAGATTGTTTCACTAATGATTTATCTTCTCCCACCCGTTTCCCTGATTAGTCTAAATAGTTGCCTGGTGTTGCCTATCGTCGAAGCTTTTTCCATCTCTTTCGCCTTTGTCACCCACCACTGTTCACGGTCCTTGCGGAGACTTTTCGTAAGTTTCCTCTTGTGCAGCTTTCGCTCCTCATTGAATTCGGAGCTCGCCGGAATAAGTCTTCTAGCATCTATCAGTTCGGATGTGGCGGTGGAGATTCAGTGATTTTTACTCACCTTTGGGTTTACCTTATTCACAGCTTTTACAGCTGTATTTATGGCTGCCTGGATATTTTTCCAAGCTTCTTCAGGGTGAGCACAGCTGTCGAACACAGATATGTGTTTAGCTAGTTCTTCCTCAAATACGGATTTAGTTTCCTGATCGAGCTGGGGACGTGATGGTTTTACCGCCAGCTGTTTCGTACGTCCGTTCAGTCGTAAGCACACCCGAGCGCGGACCAGTGCGTGATCGGTATCTACACACGTGTTCCAGAAGGAGCGACAATCTCCTACCGACCCACGCCAACGATAGCTTATTGCTATGTGGTCTATTTGTGTCCAGCGTTGGTTTGATGAAGGGGGTCTCCAAGTCAAACAGTGTCTCTCCTTGTGTTTGAAGTTAGTGCTTACAAGAAACATGATTATCAGAACAGAAGTGTAGGAGACGGTCACCGTTGTCGGTTCGCTGGCACGGAACTCCATAGGTGCCACCGACATCCTTCTCAGATTGACACAATTTCCCTACTTAAGATTTAAAGTCGCCAGCTAGGACGACTACATCTGAGCGTTTAGCCTTTCGCAGCAAACTAGACAGCTTTTGGTAGAACTCATCCTTCGTTTCACCCGAACTGCAGTCAGTGGGGGCGTAGGCGGAGATTACGAAAAGGCATCGGCGAGTAGTGCAGTTTGCGTGGACTTGTTTGTGCAGAGATGGCATTGAGTGGCAGTATAGGAAACCCGCTGCTCGACTGGATCCCAGTGAACAGTCGTATACGTGTTGTCCTGCTCAACGAATCTCAACCGACTGCATTTCGGATGAAGTACAGGATCAGTTTTGTCCAAAACTGCCCATTTTGCTTTTAAAAAACAAAGCCTTTAGGTATAATCATTTAGTAGGTAAGGAGGCTGTCAGTCAGAAAGGTACTTACGAAGCCTCTTGCCGAAGAACCCACCCTGGCGATCGTCTTTTACAAACCTGTTCAGGATTAATTTTAAACATCAGGAGAGAAGTTGACTAACCTGGAAACCCTCAACATCAAATCAGCGATGGACGCAAACAGATCATTCAGACTCCCATTACGTATTTAATTAGTCCGTGCACATATATGCCTACGACTGAAAGTACATAAGAAAAAACATGCAGCTACGAAACCTCTCCGCTTCCCACTTAATAGGAAGGCAAAATCTCTATTTAGGGGAGAAATAAATAAACGCATATGTGCAATATCCATCTTCAGAAAGCCTCGTACTACATTGAGTCTGTTGAAGAAGCAGTGGTTAAGGATGTTGGTAACCACTTATAAAGGGTTAACAAATCTCATTGAATTTTTGCTGCTTCATTGGGACTGACACACTCGAGAAAACTACTATTGCGGGCTCCTAACATGAAAAAGAGTGGAAGCTTTGCAAATGTAAGCGGACTAAACATCTCCTTGAACAGTGTTGGGCGACAAAAGTGATACAGATGGAAAGAGCATAGACGATAGATGACACCGGACAACTATTTGGACGCATTAGAGAAACGGGTTGTAAGAAACCAGTGGTAACTGAAACTTTTTCTGAGATAGACTATAATTACTTCACAGGATGTCTGCATGGTTTCAACATAGAACCTTGCACCGATGTGCAGCAGCTCGAGTCGCTACACTTCACTCAGCACACAAAGTCAGAGAAGAAAGTAAAAAGAAACGCAGGATAGGTGACTTGAAGGCTGGAGGGAACAATTTGAAGAGCAACACAGTTGGCTTATAGCCACGCTAAGATTACTCAGCATCTAACGTCTACCTGGATTAGATGTAAACATAGGATCATCAACCATAACTGAGGTTGTAAACACTGTCTCTAGTCTAAAGACAAGGCAAAGCAGCAGGATTCTATTGTGTGACTACAAAAGCATTCAGAGACGGTGGTAATGAATTGTTCACCGGATTAACGAAGATATTAATTAACATATGGGGATCCGAAGTAGTCATACTAGACTAATGTAAGTCATTGATATTTCCGGTTTATAGAAAGTAAGATAAATCTTCCTGTAGTGACCATAGTTGAATCAGCACGAACGACATAGAATCTAAAGTTCTAGGTTCAGTAAACCTGTGTAGACTAAACGACGCCGTGAAAATCAGGAACGTTGGAGGCTAGAAAGAAGATATATTTATCATGATATCTTCACCCTCAAACAGATTCTGGAACACAGGTATACTTATTAGAGCCCAATATTTGCTATATTTCTTAACCTGAAGGCACATTTGACTCCATTGACCGAGAGGTACTGTGGTGATGTGTCGACCTGAAGAAAGTGCATCGCCCTTATCAAGGCATCCTACTGAAACTCATGCAGTTGTGCAGGAGCTTATGGGGTTGTCATCTGAAGTGATAACTACCAGTGGTATCTATTGGCAATGCCCAGTGTCCC